AAAATTCCCAAATAAAATTCATAAATATTCCTATACAAGAAAACCGAGTCTTTTCTACTAGCGAAGGAAAGTCGTCGGAACCGGGCTTCATAGGGTGGATACGTTTAGAGGGAAGACACTTGGATTCCTCTAGCGAGTAACCTCAAGTCGTTGAAGTTACAACCGGGAACCGATTCCCTCATCCATCATCAATAGTGAAGGAGTTCAAGACATTCGGTAAATATTTTTACTAATATTTACTTTATAGTAACAAATCAAAATTTGTATATGATGTATGTTTTAAAGATGACAATTAGTTAATTCGCAATTAGTATGTACGGGTGTTGTATTTATACGATAAATACTTACTTTAAAAATTTTAAATTCCGCTGCGTACAGCCCGTACGGTACTATCGAACCCAACACTCTCCACTTCCATATTTTGGGGATACTTTAGCATGTTTTGTGGAAGAATTTGTGGAGGAAAATGGGGTAGAAAATAGCTATAAAAGGGTGACAATGTTTGAAGAGAAAGGACACAACTCCATAGAGGGGTTCTCCCCTATTCTCCCTCTCTTCCTCCTTCTTCTTCTTTTCTTCTTCTTGTATTCTTCTTATCTTCTTCATTTTCCTCATTTTGTCTTTTGATGAAGCTTGTATTTGAACTCTAACACTTGGAGCTTGAATTGTAAGTTTATTTTCTCTTTGAATTAATTCATGCAAAATGGTTAATTTAGGAGAAATGAATGTATGTATTGAAATTGTTATCAGTAGCTAATCCTCTAGCTAGGGTTAGGGGATAGTTATTCTGGTTTGTTCTCGTTTATGTGCATGATGATAGCTCAATCCTTGCGAGTTGTTTTAATTTGGAATTGATAAAATCATGCTTGATAATTCGATATAACATAAGAATGACACTTAGGAAATTTTATTGATATAATTGAAGAGTGACACTTCGATTTTGCACGATTGAATAATGATTCATTAAGTTTGAGTTTGTTGATTCTACATGATTAGTTGATTAAACACCTTCTAATCGAATTAGCGACTTTTAGAACCGAAAGGGGAGGAGTCGTAGAATTAATCGATTTCAAAACCGAGAGGGGAGAAATTGGTGGAACTTGGCTCGTTTAGAGTAGACATGTTCGGAGACGTATTGTCTATGTATTAGTTATTTCGTTAATTTGCTCGTTTATGTTTATCTGCATGTTACGAAGAGTTATTGAGGTTAAACCGCTAAATGAGTTAATTAGTCGAGTCTTTTAATCAAGTTATGGATTGCCGATAAAGGTGTGTAGAACCGGAAACGATTGTCCCCGATACCCTAGCTCGTTTATCTCTCTTTGAATTGTGACATTTGTATTTCTTAGATAGATTTATGTTTCATGTTATTCCTTAATTGATAATCAATCCAAACCAGCAAATTGAATTAGAGTGCTTAGGATTTTATTTTCTATTTCTGTGTTTTGGACAACTAACTAGCAACCGAAGCTCCGAACCGTCTTCCTTTGAGAGACGGCCCAAGTCCGGATAACCCGGTTACCAAATTATCCCACCACAAAATGTTGCACAACATTAATTTTATTCCATAATTAATATTCCATTAGGAGAGGAATATTCCTTCTAGAATATTACTTAGGGTTAGAAGACTAAGGAGTCTTCTAGAAGGTGATAATTAGTAGAAGGAATTCTATTCTAGATTGGAGAATTAGGATTCCTTTGCCTAATGGGATAATTTAGCACCTCCTTAAGGTCCCTAATGGAGCCTATAAATACACCATGTCCCAAACCCTTAAAGGGTGCTAGACATACTCGTTTTTTCCTTCTTCCTAAAAGAGAAAAATTGTCTTTTTCGAGAGTTTGGGAGATTCAATTAATCGCACCACCAAGATTAATTGAAGTAGGTGTTCAGGTAATCCATTAAAAGGTCTAAAGGTGATATATTTCAAACTTTAAAGATCTACACTTTTCGGCCAACCGCTGCCGTCTACTGCCGCCAGAAGTCGCCCGCACGCGCCGCCTTAGTGCCGCCCGCGCCCAGTAGCGCACGNTGATCCTCGCGCCTAGCTGTAGCATCCCACATAAACCAGCTATGCGCGTGCCCTGACTGCACAGCTCGTTCAAATGCCGTCAGCGCTCCACGCCGGAGAGACCCGCAGCCACCCGTGTGCCGCAGACGCCACCCACGCAGGATCCATGAAGAAGCCGAGTGTCCTGCGTGCCACAGGCGTCCCTGCCCAACTTACCCGTGTGCCCCAGCGTCTGTGCGCGTGCAACCGAAGCTCACTGCCCATCATGACCAAACCAGGCCCAGGCACGAGCAGACCGCGGCCAAGCGAACCAACACTCGGCCAAGCGACCAGACCCGGCCCAAACCAACCCAGACCCGACCCGACCCAGTCTGACCCAGTTCGTCTCGACCCAGTTAGCCTGGTTCGTGCTCAAGATGGTTACCGAGCAGCTCGAGGAGTCCGGTTCACATACCGAAGGTCCGAGACGATCCGACGAGCCCAACGAGTAACCAGAGCACCCGCAACTCGATTAGAATCGAGAAAGGCCAAGTCCAGTAGCCCATCGGACTCTGGTGTTCAGACGATCTCCATCAACGGAAATCAGAAATGTCTCAGAGTCGGCAAAAATTTTAAACCTTAAGTCCTAATCCTAATAATAGATTCCGCTGCGTTAGGATTTATTATTCAATAGATTTGAATGTGCACATTGCCGACGTTCCTAATAGAACCCAACACAAGGATATTCTTTGCGCATATTTTTTGTTGTAGCGACTGTATGTCCCTAAAATACCCAAGGTCGAGTATATTCAAATCTGGAGAATTAGGAGGTTGGCAAGTTAATCGAATGTCGAAGCCATTTTGTGAAGCTGCTGCTACAAAATCAGGGTCATTAGGAGGAACATGTGTCCTAGCATTGCTTTGTTGGACATATATAGTTTCACCATAATCGGAGATAGGCCATTTCTCAATAATAGCTGGGGTAACTTTTTCAATAAAAAATGCTTTCACATTCTCCCTTCAAACCGATGTGATTGCCTTCATCTCCATCGTGCCAGCTTGTCTATTCCTGCTATTTCTCTGGGCTGGTTGCTCTGTCACAAACTCCCAACATCTAACTTTGCCCGAAAATACCACCCTCCCTTCACCATCAAATCTAGGACGAGCAGTGGCTGCTAGAAACATGACTTTTGCAACCTTATTTTTACTTTGACATGAACGGTGAGGATCTTCTTCATTGTTCAGTAGGTAATACGTTTGCTCTTTTTTTGTCAAGTAAAACCATTTTTCGTCGATATGCACATAGTTATACATTCCCTTAAACTTTGGCTCGTTCGGGGTTGTGCTTTCATCAAGCATCGACAAACAAAACTTTAGTCGCGATGTTTTATTTTCTTCTTTCAAATGTGGTTTGATGGCACTTGAATGACGACTCGCTTGAAAAGGCGATACAATTTGGAATAACTAACACCTAAAGAATTAGAAAGAGATGTAAGTGTTGTTCGTTGATGCCACTCTATCTGTTGAATCTTACTTAAATCTACCTCAATTCACTTACGACCATAGTTCCGTGCCTTCCTCGAAGAAACATCCACATCTAAGCCCAGTAAAGTTCTTTCGTGAATTTTCCATATTCTTTGAACAGTTCGCAGCTCCGGAATATTGAACATATCTTTCACTTCTTTTGTTGTGTTCTTTTTTAATTTACCATTTGCACTTTTGTTCAACAAAGCATGGTAAATTGCTCACCATTCAACGTCAGTTAGGATCCTATTCTTTTTCCCTTGAACATTTTCTATTAAAATAGTGATAACCAAATTAATATAGAGAATCAAGCAATAAAACTAGGTATTCCATGTAGTCAATTAGGAATATTGTTTACTCACATGGAAGTGAAGCAACAAAATTTTTCTGTACTAAATTTTTAGCAAGTGAAGTAACAAAATAGAGTAACTAAATTTTTTTATAACAGAAAAATATAAATAATTATGTATTCACATGTAACATACATGGAACATTGCAATCAATGAGTATTGTTTGCAGTTCAAAAGTGAAGTAAAAATATAGAAACGTAAATTCAATTATTATTTTTTTCTATTGAACCTTTGCCATCAACTTAATCACTCTGTTTACAGATTAATCTGCAAGATACAATCAACTCAATTTTTAAAGAATAAGAGGGGCCCTTCCATAACGCAAAAATTCAATCAATTCCATATACCCTCTTAATGTTGGGAATAAGCAATATTTTGCATGAAAAATTTACCATAATGCAACACAATCTGAGGAATCATGTAAGGGTAATTTAGAGGAAATAACAACATCAACCAAGCAAAAAAAAAAAATTGATATCAATAAAACTCACCTTGGCTTGTTTCCCTTGTTTCACCATTGCGTCCGTCAAACTCGTTGAAAATCTCTTGTCCACCGGATATTACATGCCCTTGAAGTACCCCTTCAATGTCATTATTTTCTTCTCCACCATTGGCTTGTTGGCTAACTATCTCTTCCACAGATGATTCGGACCTTGCTTCGTCATCATTTTCTAAAAATTTATTTCAATCGAGCTCGATAACACAGTATCCAATTTCCAAGCTTTCATCGGCATTTAGCTCGATTACAATGTTTTGGGAACCTCTCGAGACTGCACCTTCTACGTCGTAAGAAGGTTCATTCAAATCGATCGGAATGTTTGAAGCCATTGCAAATTTTTATTCATGACGTGAGGTATAATTAAACTATCCATATTTATAGTCTTTTGTAGGTGCTGCTCAAAAAATTTAAAATGTTGAAGATAAATTTTGATTTTACCTTTTTGTCAAAATTTGGTTCTAAATATGTAAGTTATTGAAGAAAATGAGTTACAGATTTTTTGCTCTGTATTTGTGAACTAAAAGTTTGAAGAGAAAAATGTGGAAGACGATGGGTTTTCCACCTTTACAAGTCATTTTTTTATTTTCTATTTACTGTACTAATATTCATTACTTAATGTTAATTTTTCATTAAATAAGGATAATAGAGGCAATTGTAAATCTATAAACAATTGAATAGAAATGTGAGATCCCCAATTTCTCTCCCAAGAACCCTAGCTGCTGCCCGTCAAAATTTGTCAATCGCGTGCCTTCCCCGGCGATTAGCCGGCCCATTCGCCGGCGGATGACCTTCAGCTGCGTCTTCCCGCTCCAATTTTTCGCTTGCCGGTGCTTCTGCGCCGATGGTGTTTCTCCCAAGCCGTCGGCAGGTCTCGCCGCTTCCTTCCCGCAGGTTGTAGTTCTGTCGTCCGGTTTTCCATGTAGAGGCTATGGTGGCTGGCTATCGGTTGGCTTCTTCTCTGCTCGGTCACCGGTGGGAGCTTGTGCGCTGTGCTCCAGGTTAGTGGCGGGTTGTTTCAAGGAGGTGAGCGGTTGTGGTTCGGGCTGGGTGCGACCTTGGTGGCTCGGCTTGTATGAGTTGCGTCGGCCGGGGTGGAGGTGGGTTGGTTCGTACCCCTATGTCCACTTTGCTGGTTTTGTGGAGTTGGATGCCCAACAGGCCCGGATTCTGACCAATGGTGTTTGGTCGGGTCACAGGAAGCGGGTCTGTGTGGTGGGGCTGATCGATCCTCCTCGGGCTGTGGGTCGGCTTCATCTGTGGAGTGGTTCGAGGCTTGGGACTCTTCCTTTGCTAGGCTTTAGGCAGTGGCGGGAGTGGTGTTCCGGCTTTCGCGTCAAGCTATTGGGTGATTGCTCTTGATTTCGCTGGTGCCTTGTGCGAGGTTCGGTTATCTCGTTGGGGAAGGGCTTTGTGTGCCTTCAGATTAGGTTTTTTTATTTTGGTTGTTCTTTATGTTCGTGTCTTGTGTTTAGGTTTGTGTTTTTGGTTTGGGCCGTTTGGCCTCTGTGCGCCCAGATGTCAAATTTATTATCCTGTTGGGATTCGACATTCGGGTATTACTCTGTTGGGGTCTTGTTTAGTTTTGTTTGTGTAGTTGGTTTAGTGTGGTTGTATTTTTTGTGTGTTTCCCGAGTATTACCCTGTTGGGGTCAGCTCTAGGCGATCTCTGGATCTGCCTCCCAGTTTTCTAGTCTTTAGTTGTACTATTCAGCCTTTGGGTGCTTTCTTTTCGCACTTTGTGCGGTTTTTATTAATATAGTACCTCTATCGTTTCGGGGCAACAAAAAAATTTCTTAATAAATATGTTAATGTCCAGAACGACAATCTATTAATATATAAAGAGGGAATGATAGTTGTTTGAAAAAATCAAGTGGAAAATTAGCAAAAAAAAAATTTCAATTCCCGCCTAAAGTTTAAGCAAGATTTTTGGCAAAAAAAAATTAAATAAGCCCGCCGCCCATTATGTGATTCGAAATTTTTGGAATTTTTTTTATTGATTTCAGCCTATATGCACGCCGCCCTCAACTTGCTCTTTTGGCTGCCAGAATCTTTCCGTTAAAAGAGGAGCGAGAACCATAAAATCTTGCCTATTTATCTAACTATCCAATTTAATTTAGGAATAAATACCAAACATTTGGACTCTTTCCCATCCACCCCATAGACCCTAACCCCCCTTGCCCTCCTCCCGTGGAGCGCCGCCGGTGGACTCTCCACCATCAGAAGCAGTCGACGGCTTTCGGCATCAGCTCGACGGCTTGCGCGAGAATATTCGAGGCATCGACACGGAGATTGAGTCCGTCACGTGGTCCGTGGATCCTTCTGCTTATTCACCGGTCTCGCCCTGTACCTTGTGATTTTCTCTGATTTTCTAGCTTGATTTTTGCTCTATTTTTCTGCATCTTTTTTTCAATTTTCATTTGGTTTTTTGATGTTGCTAAGGTGATATTGGGAGCTCCTCCAACGCTGGAGGCCATCGGTCGTTAATCTTCAGTGTGTTTTTAGGACCCAAACAGCTTCGGATTAACTAAGAGGGCTCTGTTTTTTTTTTTAATTTTGTTGTTTTTGTTCTTTTTTTTTTTCTGTGTGGGCTCTGTTTTTCTATGTATTTTTCTTCCTTTTTTTTTTCTTTATTTCTATAGTTGTGTGGTTTATTTGTTGTTTGTTTTTGGATGATTGTCCTTGTGTCTCTCACAAATTTATAAACCATTTTTGTTTGAGTGACATACTAGGTAAATTATTTTTTCACGTTGATTGTTAATAAAATATTAGGATATGTTCATAGTATTTTTTTGAGCTTCACAAAGCGAACCGAATGGAGAAGGTTCTGGCCGATTTTCATGGCTGTTGGATGTGTGGGCTGAGCGTGAGGCTGGGGCTGCGAGCACCGTGAAAAACGGGCCAGGGAGTGATGCGAGAGAATCACCGTCCAGAATCAGAAAATAGCTTCCGAAAGGAATACCCTTTTTTCTGAGCTGAGCACGAAAATCAGAGAGCTCAAAGGTAAGAACTTGGAAGCCGATTGTTTTGTGGGAGTTTACCAGGAGAAATGCAGGTGCTTGGAGAACGATGGTGAGAAAATGGGCCGAGAAATCGAGAAGCCGAAGGGTGAAACTCTCAAGGCGAATAAGAGTGTGGATAGCTTAAAGTCGATGAAAATGGAGTCGGATAAGGCGGCGGAGCTGTACAAAAGCCGGCTCGAAAATCTTTCTCCGAGAATCAGTAGAATTGAGGAGGATATAGCCGATATGCTGACGGTGAAAGTGGGTGATCTTGCCGGTTTATCACACAACTTGGGCAGTTTTATTGTCGAGGGTGATGGGGGGAACTTGAATTTTCTGGATTGTTGGGGCAAATGTGATATTTTCGGGAATGGCAGCACGCCGGAGGATGCCGAAGCTGTTGTTTTGTCGCGTGGGTCCACTCGGCTTCGAATTATAGTGGAGTGTCGTCGAAAAAGAAAGGTAGTTTGAATTTATATATGTGAAGCCCAGTGCATTTGTTGAGTTTGTTGTGATGATGTTTTTGTATTTTGTTTTCTTTAAGCATTCATTCAATAGTTTGCAGTGCAATGACCTGCTAGCTGTTTATCTGTCGAGTTTAGCATACTTGAAGAATCTAGGGATCTCTATAAGGATCACTTGCATGGATTTTTACTCGGGTTCGGTACAATTGTTTACACAATTTCATGGAGTTTTTTTGCAAATAAACAAGCATTTTATGTCCTTCTTTTATTATTGTTTTGACGTGCATCTTCCCTGCCTTTCCACTCAAAATGGTGTTGAAAGGTAGTTCGACTGTTCGAGAATGTGGATGAACAAAATTATGTTTTCCCCTAAATTTGGAAGAACTATTCATCAAAGCTTGTAAAATAAAAATCTAATTAAATTTAAAAGCTCTCCAACAGTTTCTTGCTTTTTTTATTAGGAAAATGAAAAAGGCCTTGGTAGACGGTTTGGTGAAGTATTTTTACTGGTTGATGGTGCCACACGAGTTATGGTAAATTCTGACTAAACACGTTAGTAGTTTTAATTCTTCACAAATGTGTGGCCTTCTTCTTACAATTTTTATGTGTTCAGAAGTCATGTGGTTATTGTTCCTCTGTATTTGTAGAAACTTTCGAAATTGTTACTTGAATATGTAATCAACAGTATGGATTTAAAATGAACTGTGAGCAAAGTGTTGGAAACTATGGCTGAATCAAAAAGAGTCAAACTTGTATCAGTGAAATGGTATATTTTTTTAAGGTTACTGATCATTTTTGTGTTAATACTTGTCATAATGAGATTGACGTTCTCTGGCACAAATATTTCATACCTCACAACACAAATGCAAACATTTCTTATGCTGATTATTATATTTCATTCTGATTTCTCTGAAGCTTGCCTTTTTTTTAGCAGGTGCTTTTGTTTATACCATTTTGTGAATGAGGTTGTAATTGTGCTCCCTTTTTTTTTCCCCCATTTTAAATGTTAGGCATGGATTTGTGTGTATAAAAAATTAGATAATTATTTTTTTATAAAATATATATCATTATATTTTTTATTTATAATTTGAAACTTCGAAACAACGGTTTATGCATTCGATAACACAAATAAAAAATAAACACTTTATATTTATCGACAAAAAAAATTCATCCATTTATATGTTTCTAACTATTAGTCTTCTCTATCAATACTTTATTATTTTTTATACCATTTAATTATTATATTTATTTTATATTTTTTCATAATTTTAAATTAATCTCTCTTTTTTTAGAATAAAAATAAATAATTTTTATTTTTTATTTGTATCATCTCAATATTCATGCTAAACGAATTCATCCTTAATTTCCCACCACTCTGAAAAAAGAACAAGTTGAAAAAGAGGGGATGGGGATGACTACGTTACAGGATGGTTCTGTCAATATTTTTCACCGTTAGATACACATGTAGATTATGTAGTATAGATAATTCACCATAACAAACAATGACGGAATCATTCCGCCAATGAGACTGTAGTAATTCCCTGAAACAGAATGAGACAAAAAGTTGAAAAGTGGCAGCTAAAAAATTGAAACTCAAATTAAAAAATAATTATAATTTGAGTAAGATTATTGTAGAGAATATGTAGAAATATCTTTCCTATACATATCAAATTAAAAAATAAATGTAATTTGAGTAAGATTATTGTACACAATCTTGAAATATCTTTCCTATTACACACTCTTGACTAAAATGACAGGATACTACAAAAAAAACTTGATTAGCTATTTTAATTACTTAACAAAACTTTTAACATGTAAAATAGTCACAACGTGGCATTTGTCTACATCATTTTTTGTTACCCGATGATTATGAATATTTTTTCACATCGCCCATACATCACTATTACATTACATGCAACATGCTTCATGTGTATATTATATTATATATATATAAAGAAGGTTGTTCCTCATTATGGTTTCGTATGCAATGACTATAAATAAAAGTTAAGGTCAATCCTTATCGCATGTTGACTTATTCTTGAAGAAACCAATTTTTAGTCATGGTCAGTTATATGTCGTTGTCTCTCGTGTTACTAATAGAAAGGGTCTGAAAATTTTAATTTGTGGAGAAGAAGGTTTGAAAGAAAATCAAATCAATAATATTGTGTATAGAGAAGTGTTTAATAATATATGATTTTTTTTTATATTTTGTATTTCTCTTTCTTATTTTTCCATTATAATCAAATTATTAATTTATAAACATCAATATTTAAAATAAAGTTTAGAAAAAAGGTTTGAGGAAACACCCCACCGTGCTGCGCACGGGGACTACACTAGTTATTTAGAACAGGAGGAAGTAACAGTTTTACTTATTCTGTTCACCATATAATATTTAATTATTATTTTACTTTAACTTTTGTTGTCATATAATGTCTTTTTTATTTATAAAAGTTATAGAAGTTGTATGTCTTCTTTTTTCTTTTTATTTTATGTAATGGAATATATTTAATGCACGTTAGCATTATTTATTTATGTAATCAATTTAAAATATGTAAATATATTTAAAATTAAATAGTGTATAAATATTTTACAAAATATACATAAATGTTTTTTTCAAATTTAATTATGTATACTAATTAAACAATTTTGATTTAGGAAATGCCAAAAACTCAATCCCTTCAATAATCAAGATTTTTTTAATTTGCATTATAAGGATTTATAATTTATTTAGCATACTCATCAATGAAAATATATTTTAAAATAATTTCATTATAGAAAGAAATCAAATAAAAAAAGTGATAAAAACATAATCATGGTTACCAATAATATACAAATAAATTCTAAAGAACAGTTAATATATTTTAATTTAAATTTTTTACCATTAGTAAAATTATTTAATGTATCTAGTCATTACCTCTTAAATGTTAAACTATATTATTTTGAAGAATAATTTAATTTTTATACATTACGAAATAAAGCTTAAGAAAAAATTATATTGACAAGATTAATTCACCAACTTGATTTTGTCTGATGAATTGGAAGAAAAAATTCTACCTAACCTGTTACGATTTTTTATAAATATTTTTTGCATAAAAAGTGAATACTTTTTAAAAAAAAATAATATTATGGTTAGATCTTAAAATATGTTGTAATATTTATCTTGACCAAAATATTATCAACATGAATCACAAAAAATCAATTTTATAACTTATTATAATGAATATCAATGAAATTACTGCAGATATTAATAAAATTATTTAAGGAAATAATATTTTGATCATATCTGATTTGATCTTATTTGAAAAAGTGTATATAGAAGCAATTAATGCATATATTTATAAAGTTTCCAAAAAATGGTATGCATTAAATGCTCCCAAAATATTCTATCTACTTTTCCTTTTATCTTTCTTTTATATTACACAAATTTTCTCTCTTCTTCTTCCTCTTTAAAATGCAAACTAGCATACAACATATTTTTTTCAAGCGGTGCCATTGTGCGGAATACTTATGCTAATGTACATTATCGAACGCATTAGTGTGCTTTGTTCTATCACTATTGTGCATTCTGTCAGTCACTAATGTGCATCTTATTTATCACTATTGTGCAGTCTGCATTGCGGATATTTTTTATGTGCAAATTCAAATTAAAATCAAACGAAATGATCGATTTATTTGATTAGTTAACCAAATTATTCTAAATAATTGAAATAATTATTATTTACCTTATAAAAATATAGCTTTTGGTCAAGTCTTGGAAGGGACTCCCATCCCAGAGTTATTTATTATTTTAATATTTTTATTTAACACTTTTTATCGTTTTCAATTGAAGATACATAATATACATATATATATGTATAAAAAATATATAAAAAAAATATTATTTTTTATAAATTATAGATTTGGCCCTCGGGCTAAATTGTTGTATAATCAAAGTTAATTAAATTTCAAATGGGACCCTAAAACTATCTAATTTTCGAATGCATGCCCTAGACACATCCCAACATCTCTTCTGTTTGCTAGCCCGAGCCGGAGCCTTGAGAATCTGTTAACGAATCAATAATAGGAGGAGGTTATTGGAGAGATTCAGGCGGCGGAGGTCGAGGCGGCGTCAGCAGAAGTCGAGGTGTCGGCGGCAGAGGTCGAGAAATCGGAGCTGACGGACCGCGGTGTGTGAGGAGGGGATGACGACGGCCGCGATGTTGGGTTCTATTAGGAACGAAAACCACATGCACGTTTGAATTTTAAAAAAATAAACTCTAACGCAGTGGAATCTATAGTTAGGGTTAGGACATTACCGTTTAAAATTTTTGCCGACTCAGAGATGTTTCTGATTTCCTTTGATGGAGATCGTCTGATCACCAGAATTCGATGGGCTACCGGATCTGGCCTTTCTCGATTCTGATTGAGTCACTGAATAACGAACGGATCACCGGATCGGGCTGTTGGGCTCAGGTCGGTTGAATCGTGTTGGCTCGTTGGGTCGACTCGATCTGACTCGGGTTGACTCAGTCTGAACTCGGTAGGCTCGGTCCGGCTGACTCGGATCGGCTGGGCTTGTCTCGGTCGGGTCTGGTCGTGGACAGGCGTTGGTCGGGATGCGCGGGTAGCAGATGGTCGCAAGCAGGCGCGGTGTGCTCAGGCGCGTGCGGGAGCAGCAGTCCTAGGCCGACGCGGACTGGGCACGGGAGACTAGGCTCACGCGGGCGAGTGGCGCTAGTCTCCTGGTCGTGCGAGGAAAGGCGCGCGCGTGTTCTGTCGCGTGCTGTGAACGGGCCACACTGATCTCGGGACAACGATCGACACGGGCTGGCAGGGACGGCGAGCGGTGGTCATGGGGCGTCACTGCTAGGAGATGGTACCGGCGCTGAGCAGCACGCGGCTGGGCACGAATCTGCGCGGCTGCGTGCGGTGGGCGTTGGCTGGGTTCCGGCGGTGCTAGGCGGCAACAACAGTTTTCCGGCGACGGAGGACGGCGGCGGCTGGCCGGAAAAGATGAGATCTTCAAGGTTTAATCTATTTTACCTTAAGATCTTCTAATGTATGATCCAAATACCTACTCCGAAAAATCTTGGTGGGCGATTTTCCGGATCTCTCGAATTCTCAATATCTAGAACACTCGAAAAACTCCTTCTTCCCTTAGGAACCTTGAGTTAGGCATGTGGCTTAGAGTAGGGGGAGAGTTCAAGACATGGTGTATTTATAGACTACATTACAGACCTTAAGGAGGTGTTAAATATGGGTTTATCCCATTAGGCTAAGGAATCCTAATTCGATTCCATATATCTTTCTGACCTAGGATAGAATTCCTCATACTAATCATCACCTTTTAGAAGACTTCTTATTCTCCTAACCCTAGGTAATATTGTAGAAGCAATATTCCTCTCCTAATGGAATATTATTTATGGAATAAAATTAATTCCTTAATCTAAATAGAATTAAATAATAAAACATTTCCACTAGAGTAATATTACTGCTCTCTCCATTTAGCTCCAATTTATTCAATAAATCAAACCTCCAAATGATTAATTAATATTAATATAATTGACCGATTTACCTCCACATGTTTAAGATATAACATCCGTCAATTAATTTAATTACTGAAAATTAAATTAAATTGACCTCTTTATTTTTGAAATTAGTACCAATTAATCATTATGCCAGATAATTATCCACTTACAGGGTTTGACATAATATTCCTTCTTGAGCTCATTTCGGGGACGTCATCAACCCAGCATACTGGGACATAGTGACTGTAAATAATTTATAACGGCGCATCATATAAACATTCTTACTTACCAAAATAGCGTGTATGTCATCCTAGCAGAATAGGAATCACCCTTGGTAAATCAAATAAGTAGGTAATGAATATATGCCCATTTTATATTATCTTACAGCTTAAGAGAACACATCAATTACTGAAGGTCTAGATTATAATATCAATCAATAAATCTTATAATCTTATCGTTCCGCGGTCCGTTCAATACTTATAGTGTAATCCATCAGTCAAAGATCAACTGATTCAAGACTACACTTCAGTCTTTTCCAACAGGGGTCTCACTGTCTGTCTAAACTGTGAACAATATATTTATATTTTACAAAGAACCGATAAGATAATCTTTCTGTTCGACACGACGAACCATATTATCTACAATGTAAAATAATGGAGTTATGATTGCAAAATAAATAAACTGCAAACATAAATACACGATTGCCAGATCAAAATGGTATTGTTCATATATAAAAGCCAAGCTTTTACAGCATATCTAACACGCGACACGCCGTCGTGATGAAGCCTTTCCTGTCGCGATGGAAGCGTGGTAGGCGGCGGGTTGCAGCGGGGCTGCGGCAGGTTCTCAGGCGGGACAGACACTGGTGTTCTCTACGTATGTGTGTGTGTGTATGTGTTGTGTGTGAGTGTGTGGCTGTGCGTTGGAGGAACACCGACGTTCGTTGCGTCCGGTGGCTGTGCGGCGGCGATAGGTGGTGCGCCGGTGGGAGGTCGGAGGTGAGGGGTGCAACTGTGTGTGTGTGTTGGTGTGTGTATCTATGTGTGCAGGTGTGTGTACCGCACGTGTGTGTGTGTGGTGTGTGTGTCTGAGAGAGAGAGGGTGAGTGGGATGGTGTGATGAATAGTGACCACATGTCATGTAATTATTGGGTATGAATGAGTAGGTGACTGGTATGAGTCCCACAGTTTGATAATAAAATGTCCAAGATACCTTTAATAAATGTATAAATGTTAGATTTTTTGGTATGGTTCCCCCCATTTTGTCATCTGACATGATGACTAAGATTTATTCTTATTTCTTTCACTGGGCATCATTCTCACCGGAGCGCATTCCTATATATATATGTATAAATATAGGGGAGGAGAGAGG